CAATTGACTATGTTCCTACCTCTCTGGAAGAGAACAGCACACTGTATTTGGAGGAAAGTGTTCAGAGTCTCTATTTTCTCGTGAAGGTGTACAACAAGGAGATGTTCTTTTACCTCTTTTTCTACATGATCTGCCATCTTCCACAGAAAACACTTTTGTGAAATATGCGGATGATCTTACTGTTTGTATGCCTATCTCTTCCTCTTTACATCTCATAAAAATGAATGCGTTTTGTCTAGTATTGATTGTTGTTCTGTTGCTAATGGTCTCATACTTAATCCTTCTAAATATCAAGCTGTTAACTTTAGCATGAGATATGAACAGCATCTAAACACCATTTCGAGATCCCATAATACTTGTGCCATTGGAGACTATTTGATAGACACAGTGTCGAAGGTCAATTACCTTGGTGTTATTTTTTTCCTCTGATCTCTCTTGATCTTCTCACGTTTTATTGTTATCGAAGGTTTTCCGTCTGAGTTACTACATACAGAGATCATATGCTTTTCGGATTACTCGACATTTACTCTTACAATTTGTCAATTCCTGCATACTGCCTGTTATTCTTCACTGTTCTCGATTATTCTTTCCCGAGCTTCTTTGAAAAAACTTTCCTTGTATATCTCCTGGTAGAACGAGACGTAATAACATTAAAATCCATGCACGCAAGCACAAGTATAAAAGTTCTATAATACATTACCTAACAAATATACTCTGTGACAAACAGATTGTTAGAGTCAACCTAGTCAATAACCTTTATTCCTAAACATGTCTTTAATCTGGAAAGTTGTTCAGTTTCAGATCTTTTTTCACCTTTTTCCTTTCTTTTTTTACTTCGTTTTCTTTTTTATAAAGTAAACTTGCTGAAATACCTTGTACTGAGAATTCTATATCGTATCAAAATATAATACTGAATAGAGCCACTAATAATAATAATAATAATAATAATAATAATAATAATAATAATGTTTCTTTGCTCATTAACCAGAATTTATTTTTTTAAATGCGTAATGTGATTCTACTTGAAACGATCTTATACTTCATACTAACATCATCAATCATCGATTATGTTGTTATGATCTTCTATGTTAATACATTGTATGTTCTCATATTGCTATTATGTATATATATATATACTTTTAAGATTGAAGGCGTTTTTCTGGAAGCAAACTGCTTTTCCCGAATGACATTTTATTCATCATCACTTTGTGTTAATTCATTATTTATTACTATTGTTAATGTTATTGTTGTTGTTTTAATGATATTATTATTAATATTTTTAATTCAAGGTCACATTGTTCAAGTATATATTTTATGAAAAAGGATTAAATGTCTGTTATTCATCTTAATTCACAGTAGGATACCATCATCATCATCATCATCATCATCATCATCAATATAAGTTACATTATTTATATGATCATAATGATTGTTCATACATAAACTTCTATAAAACTTACTATAACTGTCAAACTATTTAAATGTATTTGAAAAGAATAGGAAATTACAGAAAAATTTTTTCTGCAATTAGTAATAATAATAATAATCATTGATTGTAATTGATACATGTATCACAACAAATACTTTTGAAGTGATTTCAAGATCACCATCATTATCAATACAGAAATAGTTTTATTCTTTATTTTAACTTTTATTAACGATAAGTTTTGTTTGGTTTGGATTGTGAAATTTCAACATTGATCATTCATTGTAAAACTGGTGAAGTTTTGCTCATTCAGACAAGAGAGAGAGAGAGAGTACATCCAAGATGAAATTCAGGTGGATAGAATAACTAAAAAAAAACAAAAAAACAAAGAATCAATTGACAGTTATTGTTATAATCTTAATTTAGGATATCTTATCAATGTGTAAACATGAACTTGTCTAAAATTGAACTGTGGTGAAACTTATTTGAAAAAAAAACACAACGAGTATTCATCATTTTGAGTTGAGCTGTATACTTCTGACGCCCAAATAGGGTAATACTCGGAGATATATTGGTTAGCAGCCAGTTTTGTGCGGTCTATGTAAATTATCAGACAGAAACAAGTAGGCTTATAGACATGGTACAAAGCAAACATTTGCTTTTGATAAATCTACAAATCGAAGTCCAACTACAGATGATAACGTGAAGATAGGCAGGATAGAATGTTTCTTTAAGAAATCGTGTAAACCTATTTTCAATATGTATGCTGTAATGTCATCTTTACAACCAATGTTCAGGAAAAAAAGCCTTATTTTGTATCACGCATCTTTTTTCATATTGCTGTGCTGGTTTCAGATTCCTGTCAGTGAACCTAGGCTGAGAGCCATTATTGATAAGTATTTGGAGGAGTTAATACAGTTTGACTTCGACTGTATCAATAATTCATATTTGTCCATCCCACAGTCAAGTGAGTTTCAATCTAAAATTTAGTTGGTAAACAATCAACTCTCACTGATTATTTGAAACAAAACTTTCTAATTCACGTGATTTATGTTTAATCCTACTACTCAGGGCCACTTACAACCTCTTCCTTCAGTTCTTTTGTAGAGCTGATCGCTGATATGTACACCAACCGATTGAGTGGTAATTTATTTAGGTTATTTGGTGAGTTTGCATAATTTAATTTATTTTCATTCTGAACTCGACATTCCTTAAAGTCAGAAACAATGGTTTTATTTCATTACAGAAGTTACCTTCAGAAGTGCCTGTAAAACCACATCAGTAAGCAATATCCATATGTCTACTGATAGCTAACTTCAAGGGCAATTTATCCAAGTTGCTTTAAATTTTAAGTATATAGACAACGTAGTCATCACTGATGCAGTAATGGATCATTAGTGTCTTTTTAGGATCATCCGATCCCCTATAAGGCTAGGAGGACAAAGTGCTAGGGAATCGCACGCTAAGATGAAACAGCCATCTAGCACTAACTGGTTTTCGAGAGTTTCTCAACTGAAATCATTTCTTGATGAAACTTTTCTTCAAATTATATGAAATATTTATACTCCTACATACATCGATAATTGTATTTGACTTTAGTAGTGTATATCGGCTAAACTTTTTTAAGTTTTCATTTAGTTCGTCCTGACTAAGAAATTCCGACTAATGAAGTACATATTTTGTAAGTGTATTTTAGTTTGTTATAAATTTCCCTTCAGATGTCAGGTACTGGGTTTACAATGAATCTTAACTGTCATCAGTCTATATTTTCCGTTATTATCTTACTAGACTTTATCGATTGGACTTTGTTGTTAGGTAGGGTTCTTTGACAATGACCCTGATATTCTCTATTAACGTTAGTCTACCGTTCTATCATTGACTAAGACCCTATTGTCTGATAGTCACATTGACCCCTGATGTGTAATTTGACCTATAAATTTGACCTTAAAGTTACTAAATGGACTAGTCCATTGTTTAGTAATGTGGAGGCTTCGGTTGACAAAGTGATTTATACATAGGTGGATGTGAGTAGAATTTAATCTAAAACTAGTCTATCAAAATTAACTAATAACCACTCAGGTACTTTGATGATTAGTCCTGAATGGTAAAGACTAAAACAAAAAGATTTTTGTGTCGTTTCGTTCTATGAACTAGATAGCTTAATTGTGAAGTTTTCACTTTTCCTCTGAACGTCAGCACAAAATCCAGATAGAAGTGAGATATTCATATTTCTCCGAAGGCTTTGTCTCATTAGATAGTAAGAAGGAGCACAAAAGATTGAACAGCACTCATTCATGTAACCGATGAAGGTAGGATTATCAAGCTGAAATCTAGATGGTAGTTGTATCTCAATGCTTCGTATAAAGTTTCGGTTCAGAAAGAAATAAACCAATGTTTTGAACATAGAGGAAATCCCAGTTTCCTAACTACAATATAACATAAATTTATGGAAATTATTGATGCTAGTTTCAGTGTGATAGATTTATGTACCTAAAAATCGACCGAGTACAGATATACTATATATTCTGTAGTCAATAACTCCGCCTGCAGCTCTTCTAGAGTTACTGCCAGTCTCAAACCCCGGTAAAGGGAAGCATCACCGATGAGCAAGGAGGATCTGATGCCGAAGTTAAGGCAAGGATTGGCGAAGCAAGGGCCACATTCCTACAATTGAAGAACATATGGGACTCAAAACAACTGTCAACCAATATCAAAGCAATAATCTTCAATACGAAAGTCAAGATGGTTCTACCATACGGAGCTGAAACTTGGACAACGACTACAATCATCATCTGGACGGTGCAAGGATTTATAAATAGTTGTCTATGCAAGATACTCAACATTTATTGACCAGATACCATCATCAACAGGTTGCTGTGAGAGAGAAAAAACCTGCTTCCATATGAATAAAGAATTAGAAGAAGACGATGGAAGTGGAGAGGATATATATTACGGAAATCATAAACTTGCATAACGAGGGAAGCCCTAACTTGGAATCCTGAATAGAAGCGTAAACTAGGAAGGTCAAAGAACACATAACGTTGGGAAATAGAAGCAGATATAAAAAAGATGAATAACAACTGGAAAGAGCAGGAAAGGACCGTCCAGGACAGAGTTGCATGAAGAGTGTTGGTGGGCGGCACATGCGCCTCCTCCAGGAGTGACAGGCGTAAGTAAGTAAGTAAGTAACGTCACTGAATGAGTTCGTTTCACGTTATGCACTACGATTCACAAAACAATTTAAAAAAGAATACTGTTAATAGGTGCACGAATCCCAATAGTTAATCCAACTACACTTGTAGCTAATGCAGGGTAAATTCCAGTCCCAATTATTGGTAAAGAACAAAGGTTGCACATGGAATAAGCAACACAATCTCATAGAAAACAAATGTCCTGAAAAAGCCATAAACGCAATAAACAATTCAAATTATTTTTTAAAATCTCCATTACCAGTTGAACCATATTCATTCAGAACAATCACCACAACTCATGGTGAAAACACAGATTCTTCAGACCAAGCACATTAAGACGACGATGATGACCATTCTCACAACCAGATCAACAATTCATATAAGTAGGTACATGCAATGTCCTGACAATGTGCGAGATCGGGAGGACTAATCATATAGTTACGAAAATGACGAGATACAAGTTGACGATGCTCGGAATGAGTGAGAATTATTGGATGGAATGTGGACAGAGGAGATTAGATTTGTGAGAGATGCTGTTGTATTGGGATCATGGAGAACAAAGTGCTTCGCACACACAGACAGTTGCTCTGATGCTATTCCGAGAAGCACGAGAAGCAGCTAAACAATGAGAATCTCATCTATACAGAATGATGAATAAATTGATCGGAACGAAGAAGAAGGAGGGAATCACATTGAATACGATCCAATGTTACGCACCCACCAATGAGAGTAATGATGACGATGGAGATGAGTTTCACAAGAGACTGCAATCGATCATTGTGAATTGTTGATGAAATGACCTGACCATTCGGATGGGTGACCCACACACCAATGTCGGTAATGAGAACAGCGAATATGAAGAAATCGTGTGACGAGATGGACTGATTAGGAGAAGTGAACGGGAATGTTGAGAGATTTGCAAATTTATGTGTATTCAACAACATGATTATAGTTGACAGGATATTCTCCATCACAAACGCACGCACAGATCTAAAGCGTATACACTAGATCACATTACACATCACACAACCAGATCGTTAATAGTTGTATCATGTAAATATTCAGACAGTCAGTTGAGGATATGAGAACCAACAGACGATCTCACATAGATTCACATCACCATCATGCGGTGGTCGTAAACATGAGAGTGAATGTAAGGAAGCATTGGACAATTGGACAATTGGACAGTTGAACAACTGGACAAGCAACATCATAAACGTTCAATACAGACTTCCATCTATATAATGACATAATCGACGAATTCAATATAACTCTGAACAACAGGTTCCATGACTCACGAGATCTACTCAAATGGGAGGATACTATTATGGGGAGGAACTGGACAGGTTTTAAATAGAAATTGACAGATTTAGAGTGTCATGTGTTGAATTGTAATTATCACGAACACGAATAGTTGATCTATATATAGATGAGTTGTGAAGGATTGAAGAGAGGAGGAAAAGGAATAGAGCAGTTAACAACAGCCGAGCAATAATTGCGAGAAGAAGAATAGCAGAACATTTCAGATAACCATATAATACAACGTGGAACGTAGTAGGGAAATATATAAAATCAGAGAGATCAGTCAAGAATAAAGAATTGACGACAATTATTGAGAATGACGAACGGTGGATGATGTGGGTAGAGCACTTTCATGAAATCTTGAATATATCAGACACACTGAATTCACCAGATATCGAAGCAGTGCCAACAGACTCCTCAACATACGTCATCCCACCAACTATCGAGGAATTCAGTATGGTCATCAGATAGATCGAGTGTGGGAGAGTACGATAACCAGACAACATACCAGTTGACGCTCTGAAGTCTAACATACAGGTAAATACAAACATGCTGCACATTCTACACAGAAGGATTTGGGAGGGAGAACGTGTTTGACGAACACTCTGGAAAGAAGGTTTCTCATCAAGATACGATGGAAAGGAGATCTGAGCAAGTGTGAGAAATACAGGGAAATCACACTGCTGTCAGTATTGGAGAGCGTCATCAGCACAGTGCTGTCGAGTAGGATGAGATTAAGTGAACTCCCAACGTGGAGATGAACAGACATGATCGCTTAATGATTGGTCGTGTATCGATCACATTGTGACATTACTGAACACTTTTGTACAAACAATTGAGTGGAATTCGTCACTATATTTCAACTTCCTTGACTATGAGAAATCGTTTGACAGTGTGGATAGGCGAAGCTGATAGAAGCTTCTTCGACACTATGGTCAATGTGATGAGATCTTAACCATCAAATATATTTCTCACGAGAAGCTTAACTGCAAATTTATGCGTTGATGATCATGAACAGATGGATTCGAAGTGAGGTGTGGTGTCATACAATACTTCATACTCTCGACTTTTGTTCGGATTAGGAGACCTTCCATATCTCAGGAGAAGCACGGAATACAGAACACATTGTGTCGAGAATTGGAAACAGACATGAGAAGGATGAATGGCAACTGGAAACAACTGGAAATTATTGTTCATGATAGAGTTGGATGGCGAATGCTGGTGGGTGGTCTATGCTCCTTGACGAGGGGTAACACGTGTAAGTCATTAAGTAATATTTACTCCACAACGAAAAGGCTTACAATAAGTGTGTCTATGCAACAGTAACTAAAACACAAATTCTAACATTCTATCACATATTTATATAAAGATCTGCTGACATGTTTTTATTCCTTAAAATAAAATATAACGTGAGAGGATCAAGATCGGTTTATGTACAAATCTCATTGTGCTATTCAACCAGAACTGTTTATCTGTACATGTTTCAATTGTTAAGGGGTCAAATTCATAGGTCATTCTGAATATATGAGGTCAATCAGATTGTCCAAACATAGAAGTTCTACTAAGCACTGATTGCTTATTCCAAATTGAATAAAAATATTTGATGAAATAACGGATCTGTAATTGCAGAATCTGCTTAATATACAAGCCAGAGTATTCGTTATTAGATTTAATTGGTTTATAGAGTGAATTAGAATTTTTTCGCTATTGGTATTTTGTTGACTGTGATGCTTGAATCAGTTAAGCTAAATAATTAGTCGTTTCATGCATACGTATCATTATGATGTGCTGAAGTCGCATTGAAACTTCTTTAATAATGATATCTATTTTTAAATTATACGTCACTTATAAATAATTAAAAATTTTCATATAAGACGTAAACTTCTTTTTGCACTTCGATATTTTAGAATGATCAATTCTCTAAAATTCACATTTGTAAAGCATATGATTATGCACTTTACAAAGTTACCATTTTTGACGTATTTTATACTTTTCAATTGAACGAAGATACAATTTTTTTTATCAAATGTATTTCATATATTCTGTGTATCTTTAATTTATAATTTATTGTTGTTGATAGAATTAGTCGAATCCTATATATTCAGATAAATAAATGAATAAGTAAATGAAAAATAACTGTGATGGATAGGTTAAAAAATATTTATGTGTTCATCGGGTTTTTTGAGAAACTTGGAGCCCCTCTAGGGCTACTGCCGTACCAAGTCCGGATAAAGGAGGACAGTTGGGCATGGGGTTAGCGATCACATCCCGTAGAAAACTAACTCGCCAAATAAACGCTAACCAGAAGAAATTATTCAAGCCATTTAAACACTGTCCTGGGAGTCAGAAGGTTTTTATTTAGAAGAGTTATGACGCCTCATGATGAAAGCCGAGTTTCTTCGGTAGTCACGAGATAGATGCTTCTTCTGACAACTAGAGCGACCATTTGTTTAGGTACATGGAATGCTCGTACAATGTGGGAGACTGGGAGAGTCTTTCAAATTACTACATAAATGAGTGGATACAGCCTGGAGGTGCTCAGGATCAGTGAAACACATTGGATACAAGTTGGACAACAACGACTAGCTTCAGGTTAGCTTTTGTTATACTCTGGCAATGAAGAAGAAAATGCCCCACATACACAAGGAGTTGCATTGATGCTATCCAAACAAGCACAAAAGGCACCTATAGGATGGGAATCTCATGGGCAAAGGCCCATCAAAGCCTTCTTCAAAACAAAGAAAGAGGGCATTTCAATCAACGTCATCCAATGCTATGCGCCTACCAACGACTACAATGAAGACGTTAAAGATCAATTCTACAATAGGCTGAAGTCAATCGTCGACAAGTACTCAACAAAGGACTTGGCCATTTTGATGGAAGACCTAAATGCCAAGGTTGGAATGGACAACATTGGATATGAAGACATCATGGGACTACACGGACTAGAAGAAAGGAACGAAAATGGTAAGAGATTTGCAAACCTATGTGCCTTCAATAAGCTGGTCATAGGCGGCACCATATTCCCACATAAACGCATACACAAAGCCACATGAACTTCACCGGATTACACCACGCAAAACCGAATCGACTATATTTGCATCAACAAAACGTTCAGGAGGACTATAGAGGATGTGAGAACCAAGAGAGGAGCTAATATCGCATCAGATCATCACTTGGTGGTCTCCAACATGAAATTTTAACTCAAGAAGTACTGGACAACGGGGAGGACAATATCACAAAAGTTTAATACGGCCTTTCTTTGGGATACTGAAAAACTCAACAAATTCAAGATAGTCCTCAGCAGCAGGTTCCAGGCTTCAAAAAATAAACAAATTATGTTAATATCTTCAATTAATGTCAGACGCTTTTGGTATAAAAATTGGATCTAATCATTTTAATGAGATCGTGAATCTTAACACTTGACTTTCATCCCTGTTGTAACTAAAACTTAATTATTTGATATTCGATTTCGTATAATAATCCTCAATTATCCATTTCTCTATCGCCGCAAATCGAGAGAATCAATAGAAATAAAACTAACTGCGTCCCGAACCACAAATGAATAGCCATTGTGTCAAAATTTATTTAACGTTAATATTTTTGCATACATTGACAGATAAATGAAATCAATATGACAGGAATGATATCAGATTATTTATTCAAAGGAACAGTCGAAGGTAAATAGACATATCAGAAGTATACGTGTAAAGAATTCGAGAAATATCATTGTGCTACAGTATGGTTTTCGCCATCGTACATCAATTTAAGATTCCGTTAAAAAGTTGGTTTAGTCACAGTCCACTGAATTATACATTACTTTCATACTGATCAGAAAGCCCTTTTTGTTAGTTGTTTTTTAAATATACCAAATACTGTTGTTTGATACCTATATATTTGTCATTACTAATTACTCAGTAGATTTACGTTATAATGATAACCAAGAGATTGTTCATTATTTTTATAGATATTTTATTAAAACCAATTAGATGCATGAAGCACCGTTAAATCACAGTGCAGCTTTCTAAAAAATCCATGTCAACTTAGTAACAAATATATTTTTGTTATATACTAATGAGTAGAAAAATTATATTTCTGACGTTTCGTGACTTAATGTAATGCACTTCTTTAGAGTAAATAATATTAATTGGATATAACAAAAATCTATTTATGATTAACTCTCTACCCAATACTCAGTTTATTTGAAACTATCAAGTCCAACCTTGGTATTGATACCTATAAACTCATGTCAGTCTACGTTGACTACTTTAAACAAAGTTAACTGCTCCTCAGTTATCAGTGTGAATTCAATCTGGTGACTAAGCCATTCTGGAATATTATATATATATATATATCGAGAGGGAGAGAGAGAATAGGATTAGTAATAGTGTTAAATGATCTCCATAAGAGAATGTGATTATTCTAAAGCATAGATTATTTTAAGGGAAATGTGTTTTCACTTACTTCACATCTTCAAATTATAAATCCGTACTTTTTTACTGTAAGAGGCAGGATACATCATAGACAAAAAACTTCATACTCGGAATAATACATACCAAGTCGACCATAGTTAAATATACTTAGTAACTTTTTCGTTAGTTAAGTTGAAAGATGATGTAAGAAAAGGTAAAAAGAATGGTATAAGATGATAATCAGTAAGATGAAATCATACAGAACAATGAAAATATTATTTTGTGGTTAATGTAAATTTGCCAATCATAATGTCAATGAAGAAATAATGTTTCATAGCAAGGGAAAAGGAAGAGAAGCATAATCTAGGGTTGGCAA